AGAGAATTACATATTTTAGGAAAATTTTGAAATTTATTCAAAATTTAAAGAAATGCTAGGAATATGAGAGCAAAATCCTTAAAATTTTTTCTATGTATTTAACTTTAACAATAAGTTTTTTATAACTATTTAACAAATTATTAAACTTTTATTTTATTATAAAAACAATTTGCTGAAACAAAGTTGTCTTTATAAAACCACAAACTTAATTGTTTATTTGTGGTTAATAAAAGATTTTTTTATAATAATATAAAACCTAGAACAAAAATAGAGTCCGAACCTAGGTAGTATATGGCATATATATGTAGACCTCATTTAAAGCGCTGTGACCACTTAAAGATCGTTTAAAATAAAAGTTTTCTGTTTATATAAAACTTAATTTATGTGGAATTTTATTTGAAAACTGATTCGATTTTTAATGGGGATATGCATTTTTTTATAGAAAATTGTGTGTATAAAAGTTTGTTCCTATTGAAAATGTTTTTATATAGAACTTTTCTATGTGTGTATAACAGGATTTATAGGGAAAATTGTATGTATAGCACTTTTTTCGATAGAAAACTATTTGTATAACAGTGTTTTCCTATTGAAAATGTGTATAACACTTTTCTCTAAAGAAAATTGTGTGTATAACACTTTTTTCTATAGAAAATTAGGTATATAACACTTTTTTCTATACAAAATTGTGTGTATAGCACATTTTTTATAGAAAATTAGGTGTATAACACTTTTTTCTATACAAAATTTTTAATATAACACTTTTTCTATGGAAAATTATGAGTATAACAGTTTTCCGGAGTATAACAGTTTTATTTTTTTGAGTATATAACACTTTTTCCTATAGAAAATTGTGTGTATAACACTTTTTTCTATAGAAAATTGTATATATAACACTTTTTTCTATAGAAAATTGTATATATAACACATTTTTCTACACAAAATTGTGTGTATAACACTTTTTCTATAGAAAATTGTGTATATAACACTTTTTTCTATACAAAATTGTGTGTATAACAATTTTTTGTATAAAAAATTGGGTGTATAACACTTTTTTCTATACAAAAATTTTGAATATAACACTTTTTCTATTGGAAATTATGAGTAAAACAGTTTTTCCTGAGTATAACAGTTTTATTTTTTGGAGTGTAACAGTTTGTTTTCATACAATATTTTATATATAACACTATTTTATGCAGAAAATTATGTGTATAGAACTTTTTTCTACAGAAAATAATGAGTATAACCGTTTTTTTTCTATAGATAATTTTCTTTATAACACTTTTTCTATAAAAAATAATAAGTATAACAGTTTTCTCTATGGAATATTTTATGTATAACATTTTTTCCTATAAAATATTGTGTCTTTAAACAAAACTATATAAAGAGTTTTCTAGTAGAAGAAGTTATAGTGAAACTATAGCTCAGATTATGGACCGATTGTAGTAAAAATTTCAAAAAGTGAGCGAATAAACAATATTTCTAGACATTTTAAACATTAATACAGATAAAGGGTATTAAATGAGAACATAATTTAAAAAACTTAAGATTAAATAGAAAATTTAGTTTTAAACAAAATTTTGCGTAAAAATTTTCATTAATTAAATTATTTTTCTTAATTAATAGAATTCTTCAAACTATTGCGTAATTGTTTTAAATATAAAAACTAACAGCAGAAAATAAAAAACAAAAAAATAATTAAACACACAAAATTATATTTATGCAATCATTGTATATAGAGAGTCAAAATTCTAAAAATCCACAAGATCTTAAGCTCTTTCAATAACTACAAAAATTTAATGCAAAATTATCTCTACAAATGAAAACAAAAAAAGAATGAGAAGGTCATTTCTTTACGTTGTGTTGATTAAGAAAAAGTATTCTTCTTTTGCTGGGGAAACGAAATGTTTGTGATATTGAAAAATTATACAAAAACCTTAAGAAGACTGCTCAAAGAAAAGAATGTCTAGAGAAGAGTATAACTGCAGATTGTCTATTGTATCTGCTCTTTTATATATACATATATATATATTTTTTATTCTAAAGAATATATACGAAACAATATAACGATTACAAGTGTGACAAAAGAATGTAGCGAAAAAAATACAAAAAAAAAACTATCTAGAAGTATACAAATAAAGTGGGTCATTGTACAAATAATAAATGTAGAAAAAAACGAGTTCAAAGACAAAAATAGGTATATGCTATATAACAAAATTCAATGTAGTTGAACAGCATACTGAAAGAAATTGCTAAACCAATAATAATAATAAGAAACTAGCCAAGACTAAGAAGAATGTTAAATGAAAAAAAAAAAATAAAACCAAAAGAAAGACAAGCTAACGAAAGCCATAATAAGGAAAAAAAATTAATACTTTTTAAGTATTGTTCTGCCAATACTAATAAATGTATATAAATATATAGTTAAATAAACTTATCTTTTGTTTAATTGTATTATAAAGTGAAAAACGTTTAAAAAGAGTAAAGAACTAAAAAAAAAAGAAACAACCATTTTTGCTTTACCGGCAAATTGTTTATACAAATTTTTTTTAATAACTTAAACAAAACTAAAAATCTTTATACATACATGTACATTATTTTTTAAAGAGTATGTATATTATTTTGAGTTGAGATAGCAAGAGCTCAATTATATAGAGCAAATAAAAATGAAAATTCTTTTAAATACTACGTAATCATTTGCGAAAATAATTTATTGTGTAGTAAATATTAAAAAAAAAAACAAAAACCACAATAAAAGTAGGAATTGTAAAAAGGGAAGATGTTTTAGGAATATAAATTAATTGTAAAGTTTATTACTTGCTGTAAAATTGGCAATTGTTCAATAGTTAACGAAATGCTAATGTTAAAAAAAAAATTTTCTATTTCCTATTAAAAACTAATGTTTTTAAAATGTTATAATTAATTAAAATAGAACAATTAGAATTAGTCAAAAGTTTTAATTAAGCTAAATACTTAGTTAATCATTTGTTTTTTGAAATTGTTATTCAAAAACAAATTTTTTAAAGATTTTTTTATTTCAAAATTTTGAATTTAAAAAAAAATAATTATTAAAATTTGAAAATTTCGAAATTAAAATTTTTTTTCAGTTAAAATTTTAATAATTTTCGAATTTTTAGAAATTTCGATTTTTTAAAAATTTTAAAAAAATTCGAATTTTTAAAATTGTGAAAAATGTGTTCTCTAAAAATTGTAACTATTTTGATTTATAATCGATTTATTCGCTTTTTCTATAGAAAATTGTGTGTATAAAAGTTTTTTCCTATTTAAAATGTGCGTATAACACTTTTTCTATGTGTGTATAACAGTAGTTATATAGGAAATTATATGTATTCGGTAGAAAAATATGTGTATAACACTTTTTTCAGTAGAAAAATTCTGTGTATAACAGTTTTTTGTCAGAAAATTATGCGTATAACACTTTTCACTATAGAAAACTGTGCGTATAACACTTTATCCGGTAAAAAATTTTGTGTATAACACTTTTCACTATAGAAAAATGTGCGTATAACACTTTTTTCCGTAGAAAACTGGGCGTATAACACTTTTATCGGTAGAAAATTGTGCGTATAACACTTTTTTCGATATAAAACTGTGCGTATAACACTTTTTTCGGTAGAAAATTATATGTATAACACTTTTTGCAGTAAAAAATTTTGTGTATAACACATTTTTTTCGGTAAAAAATTTGTGTATTACACTTTTTACGGAACAAAATATTTCGTATAACACTTTTTTCGGTAGAAAATTGGGCGTAGAACACTTTTATCGGTATAAAAGTTTGCGTATAACACTTTTTTCGGTAGAAAATTATATGTATAACACTTTTTGCAGTAAAAAATTTTGTGTATAACACTTTTCATTATAGAAATTTGTGTGTATAACACTTTTCACTATAAAAATTTGTGTGTATAACACTTTTTCGGTAAAAATTAGTGTATAACACTTTTTTCCGTAAAAAATGGTGTGTATAACACTTTTTATTAAAGAAAATTGTTTGTTAAACATTTTTCGGTAGAAAATTGTAAAAAATATTGAATTTTTAAAAGTTTAAATTTAAAAAATCAAAATTTTTAATTAAAAATTTAAGAAATTGAAATCTAAAACACTTTGAGAACATTTAAAAAATCTTAAAATTTTGAGAAAATTTTAAAATTTATAAAAAAAAAATGAAAAATTTTTTGAAAAATTCAAAAATTTAAAAACTTCAAGATATCATTAAATCATTAAATATTTATTAACATTTAATAAAAAATTTAAAGATTTTGAAACTTTGAATTAAAAATATTTCAAACAAAGACTTTATAAATTCAAACATAAAATTACTAAAACCTCTTTTAAATTAATTGTCCCCATATGAGTGAGTGTATGGACAAATGTAATCATCATTTTGAAATTATTAAAATGTTTAATTGTCTTAACATGCTAAACATGTACATAGTACGACAAAGAAGACAAAACAATAATAATAATAATGACAGTGAATTGTTCTTAAGAAAAATAATTAATGAAATAACAAAAAAAAAACAAAGAATCACAACTAAATTCGTTTTCAAAACTTCTAAAAAGTTTTCGCAAATAACACTGTGAACTAATCTTATCGTTAAGAATAATCTTTCTTTTTATAAAATCCAAATAAATGTTTGCATAGTTTTGTAGTTTCACCAAAAAATAATAGAAATTTGAAGCATAGTTTTCAAAAAATATTAATAAAATGAAAAAATTTGTTAGAGAAAACAATGTTAATTTGTTTCCAAACTCAATATTAAAATAGTGAATTGGAAAACAAATGCTAGAGTTTTAAGAAAATCATATACTGTTTCATATTTATTTAAAATTTTACAATTACTTAAAGAAAAGTAAAACTTCCAACCGAATCACTTTTCTTGCTTTTTCAATGCATTTGTTTTTCAAAAACTTTTTTCTAACGATTTCGAAAACAAAATAAAATTGTATTATTTTTTGAATTAGATTTTTCCAATTACCCTTTTTAATTGTGTATTCATGATGTTGTGTAGTTCATTGCGTATTATATTGAATTTCATCATCGTGTCCGATGAAAATATCGAACGACCAAAAGCCAAACCGGGATAATCAGCACAACGATTTTTATTACGTCTTGCCTCACGTTCGGCCACTATTTCGGCCGCCTCACTAGTACAGCGCAATTTAGCCCATTCGGCCGATTGCACATCATCATCATCGATGGCTATGCCTTCATCGGTGGCAGCAGAGGCGGCATCGTTTAGGGTCTCTGTGGACTCTAGACAGGCGGAAGAACGTTTTGATTTATCTTTTTTGGATTTTTTCGATTTCTTTTGTTCTTTGTTCGTAGATTCTGTTTTATCAGACTTATCACGTTTTGATTTGGATTTTTTCTCTTTGGGTGCCTGGCCGCCGGCAGCTGAGGTAGGTGTTTGAGCTGATACAACTCCTTCGTCCAGCATACTGCTATCATCAGTAGGCGTGGGACTATTACTACCCATAGAGGTGGTTACCGATTCGGTTAAAGGCAAGTTTAATGAGGCTTTAATACGTTGAGCTGTTATAGGATCATCTTCCGGTTCATCGTTGTAGTCATGGGTATAGGAATCGTCCATTGCAACTGTATCCAGTGTATTGCTATTAGTATCATTTTGTGTGGCAGAAGCTGCTTCTGCTGCTGTTTCTTCCTCTTTTTTGTATAAGGCTGCTAGGATTTCCTGAACATTGGGCGGTACATTGGGTCGTCTTGTACCCGAAAAGCGGGGATGATGTTGATGACCACGTCGTTTAAGAGAGGACGGCACTAGAGATGAGTTGCACGACGAGGCCGACGATGTAAGGCTACTGTTGCTTATGGTAGACTGAGCATCCTCATTTTGAGTTGCTGCTGCTGAGGAAGAGGAGGACATAATGTCACTCCAACTCCAATCACAATCACTTAAGGAGTCGGGTTCTTCTTCACCACCGGAAGAATAATGTTCTTTATTTATGGAATCGTACCACTCTTTCAGAGCTGCATTCTCATCTTCATCACAATAATACAATAATTTATCCAATAAATCTAGTTGTTCTTCTATGGAACACCAACGCGATGATATTATCGACTCTTGATCATTAAATTTTTTTCCTTTTAATTTCTTTTGTTGTTGCTGTTGTTTACTGACGCAGGATGAGGGTGATGATGAATTTTTATTCTTTTGTTTACTTTGTAATTTTTTATTTTTATTATTATTTAATTCTAGAGAGTTTTTATTATTGCCACTGCTAAGTTTTAATTTTTTTTGTGTTTTCTTTAGTGCAGAGGAGGAGGTTGACGAAGAAGAAGACGACGATGATGATGTTGGTGAGCAGCTGTTATTTTGACAGTTCGTTTGTTTTTGTTGTTGTTGCGTTTTCTGTTGTTTATCATAACCTCCACTCGTCAATAGATGGCGGTGAGCACGTTTAATTTGACGTATCTCTTGTTGATTCGAGCGCCGTCTACGTGCTTGTTGTTGCTGCTGTATTGCTTTGGTATTGCCAACTGCCGTTAAGCATGTTGTGGTTTTCTTCAACTGTAATTGTTGTTGGCTATTCTCTTTGTGTTTTTGTTTTGCTTGCAGGGTTGCCACACGATAATCTTTATTATTATTTACCGCTAATTTTTTGGGTGTTAACGTTTTTTGCTTGGGTATAATAGTCTTTGTTTTTGTTGTTGTTTTACTATTAATGTTTATGTCTTTTTTACAACTTTTATTATTATTTGTATTTGTTGTTATTTGTTTTGTTTTGCCATTTGTCACAATATGCCATTTATTGTAATAATTATTTGTTTTAGTTTCTTGTAATATTTTCTCCACCATATTAATTCAAAATAAAGTCAACAGTTATTTTTTGTTTTGTGTTAGTTTTTAAAACTAAAGTGTTTTTTTTTTTTTTAAATATTTCACTTAAAAACTTAATTCTAACACATTTTTATCAAAAAATATCTTTGATATTGTGAAATTTTAAAGCAATGTCAAGTTTTTGGCAAATGTTCAATTGTATATTTTTAATCAATTTGATGTTACAAAATGTTCTTTATTGTGTTTTATAGGGTTTTTCATTTATTTATACTTTTTTTTAAATATATAAAAAATTAAACTTATTTCAAATTGTATAACAAAATTATGGAAAAATATGGAATATGTTTCTAGTCCATTGATTTTTATAAAAAAAAAAACTTTAATTATTAAACAGCTTAAGTGATGATTTAAGTTTTTATTTATTAGTTACTTGAGAAACTTTTATTTTTAACGTTTAAACTTAAACTCTGCAAATTAATTACTTTAATTTTAGCAAAAACTGAAAAATTAAGTATAATTTAACTTTCGTATTAAATTTGTTTTTTAAAAAAACTTGTTATTTTATTTTTAAAATTCAAAAATAAAAGCAAGTTTTTTGTGTAATTTTCGTAGTTTCTTTTAAAAGTTTATAACATTATATATAACATCATCATCACTACACGCTGTGAGTTTTTTTTTTTAATTTCTATATATTTTGTGTGTTATTAATTTCTTTTTATAACATTTTTTGCTTTTTTCACTTTTTTTGCGTTTTTAATGGCTTTTTATATGTGTTATTACAACATAGCGTAAAAAGTTTAATTATATTTTGTTGTATTTTGGCTTTCCGGCTTGCTTATATAGATAGATAGAGACTCATCATCCATTTGCGTCAAATGTTAAAAGAAAATTTTGTATTTTTTTTGCAAAATTATTTTATTTAATTTGTAATTATTTAAAAATTTGCTTTAATTATTATTATTAATTCTCTTAATTAATATTTTATTATAAAAGTTCAGCAGGGGTAAAGTTGTTGGAAAAGTTGTTTAACTTATTTTAGTTTAATTGTAGACAAATAGTGTGTTGAAGATTGTCTGCTCTGCGCTGCCTTGTTGTGTTTTAAATTTGGTATATATGATTTTTTTATATTAGCAGCCAGCCAACAATGTGCTCCCCCAAAAAATATAAAAAAAAACACAAAAAATCTGATCGACCGATCGTCTAAGCTATAAAACGTTGCCGTATTCTTTTACTTTAAGTTAACCATGACACTCACTCATTACACTCATGCGTTAGAAAGAGTAAACTAACAAAAAAAAGTCATGCTCCCCCAAATACTAAAGGCGCACAATCTCTTTTCTCTTTTCAAATATAATTTCCTCGTAAGTGCGCTCTAATTACTGATCTTCACAAGCCATTATACAACCCACACATTTAGCTTTTTTTGCTTTTACTCTCTGTTCTTTAATAAAACTATAGAAAAAAACAAACTCTCACTATATTTTGGGGTGTTGTTCATTGTATACAATATTCAAATGAAAAAAAAATCACCGGAAAATTGAAATATATTTTTCTGTATATGAAAAATCTATTACTCATATAAACACGTAATATTTATTTCTGGAGTAAACGAATATACATATACTCTATAAAAGTATGAAAGATTTTTTATTGAATGCTAAAAGACATTTTTAATTAATCCAATACATATTATTGAAAATTTGTTTTTACCTTGAATAATTTTCTTAATATTTACTGAAAAATATGTATGAATATGTTATGATTTAGGGCTGATTATTAGTGTTAAAATGACCCATTTAAAATTTGCATATTATAATATTTAATCATCAATACTAAATTCCAAATGATGAATAATTTTGTTAAAAACTATAGTTCTACTGCAATTTTTAGAAATATTTTTTGGAAACCTTCCAAATTACCTATCAAAACAAAATTCCTAACAATTAGTCAGTCGCTAGTCTAAACATTTTGCATATTTGTTTTTAATTTTATCCAAAAAATACATTGTGTTTGCAACGCATGCTCTTTTTTCCATCACATTTTACTTTTATTACGTTTTTTAATTTTTCATTCATTTTCACTATTTGTTATAGTTGTTTTAGGTTATTTGATATATTCAATACATAAAAAAGTAAATTTTTCTGTATTTGAACTCTATACTATATAATTTCAAAGTACTTGGCTAGATACATACATTTTTGTGTAGGAAAATGAGACAAAAACAAAAAAGGAATGTGCAAAAATGTGTTATTATGTCTTATATCTTTTTGTGAGTGTAAAAATAGCAGAAATTTAAAAAATTTTAACAGTTGGTAACATTTAATGCATGAGATGTAGCTAAGAATGATGCCACATGTTTGTTTAAAATATAAAAAAACCGTTAGTTATAAAATAGTGCTACCATATGTTGAAATAAAGTAAATATGTACCGTTGTTTTAGTATAAATTTACAGTTGGCAACGTCTAACGTGTGACAACAAACTTAGAATGATGCCAGATGTATGAAATGGTATTACCTTATATTTATATAAGGGAATACCTTAGCATTTAAGCGAATTGCTTATGAGTACTTGTTTAAACATAATTATATTAAGAAAAATAGAAAAACTAGTTTCTTATAAAATATTTGTTTAGATTTCAACTGTTTGTGTGTTTTTATACCTAAGGGCTTTATTTTTTAAGATTTTGTTTAGAAATTGAAACTATTCCTATACATTTGCATATATTTGAGTTTATTTTAAGGTTTATTTTAAAACTAAACACCGCATAGGTGTTAAATGTTTAATTACTTAAGTGTACGTGTTGAAATATATACAATCATGAGATAATACATATTTTAACACTTACTTTTAGAAATAGGGAAACAATTATGTTAAAACAAATATTTATATTGTATGTATATCATTGGCAACAAGGAAAAAGTACATAGTTTTGTTGTAATTTACATTTTTCAAATTCCTCAAACATATCATAAGAAATTTTTATAAAATTGAGTCCAAAAATTGCAAAAAATGTAAAAACACCACTAAAACAGACATTTTTCCTAATTGCCTTCAGATACTTTCAGATATTTAAACATATTATTTCCCTCATTCTTCACTAGATACTTAAAAATTGAATTCTTAATAAAAAAGAGGACTCAAATTTACTTACATTTTGCAAAGCCTTGTTCTTTTCTTCCAATTTGCCGGTGACCAAAGTCAAAGCTTCTTGTGTTTGATCCAATTCGTTTTCAACAGTTTGGATCTTCTTTTGCAATTGGCGAGCTTCTTCTTCGGCCTATATTTAAAAAAAAAAATACAAAATAAATAATAAATTAAGTTAACAATAATAAGTAGACATAATTGTTGTAACTATTTGTAAAATTTTATAGTTTTTATTTTTAATATTATTTAGTTTTTGTTATTATTACCTTTTCGGCACGAATGTTGGCATCGCGTGCTTCTTGTTCGCAAGTAGCAGCACGTTCCAAAGCTGCGTCCTTGTCGATTTTCATCGCTTGCATCTTCTTCTTGATGGCATCCATGGCTGTTGGTTTTTTGTGTGTTTACTCGAGAAGAAACTGCAAATAAATAATTAAAATAATATATAATTAGTTTTTTTTTTTAATATTACAAAAGTATTATTACTTTTCATTTCGTATTTATTAAAGAAAATGAAGTAATTCAGTGCGTTAACATTTTAAACATAATTTAAATGTTTAAATTGATTTTATGGTTTATAATTTTAATATAGAATAATTAATGGCAAAAAAAAACAGTGGCACATTTCAAAGTGTTTTTATTTGATGTTCATGACTTGACACCTTGTAAACAGAGACGGGAATATCGATAGACAGACACGTTTAAAATGCATGACAAATACAAATGTGAAATAGTGCAATTTATGTATAAACGTCACACAAATAACTTTTTTGACAGTACATGCACTTGTACATGAAATTGTTGTCAAGTTTTTTTTAATTGGCTCTATTTTCATTGAGCATGACTAGACAATAGTCTCAGCTATAGACAAGACTTTAGTCTCAACTATAGTTTCGACTTTAGACTATGCTATAGTTGAGACTAAACTATAGTCTGAACTACAAAGACGAAACTAGAGTTGTAATTATATCCTAGACCATAGCCTAAACAACAGACTATACTTAAGACTATAATATAATCCTAACTATAGACGGGTCCAGTTTAATTATAATGAAAATATTCTAAAATATTATTTGTTATTTTCAAACATAACGTGACCACTTTCAAACTTCTAGTAGCTGCTAGACATTTATCATTTTTCCCTGCCAAATAAGGGTCACTACTATTTATTTATATATGAGTAATACAAACAAAAAATACTATCAATCAAGCAAACTAAATTTTTATTAAGCCTAAATTAACGTAAAACAAAAATTCAAGCTTAAATTTTATAAACACATGATCGCTCCATAAATTTAAATTTCACCTTGTTGCAGTTAATTTTTTTCGCTTTATTTTTCTTGCAAAACGAAAAAAATGCAATTTTTTTCGTGTGAATAACGAAAAATAATAACAAGAAAAAGAGTTGACGTTCAACAAAATATGTTTATGAATCAAAACTTTGGTATTTGCTCAGGCCCCCCCCCCTGTTTGTTGCAACAACAACTTATTATTTAAGTGATAAACGGTATTTGTTATCGGAAGAAAATTATTTGGAAATAATAACAGAAGTAGGGTGTGTTAGAATTGTAAGACTAATGTTTAAACTATAGACCAGACAATAAATTGAACTATTGACTATACTGTAGTCTTAATTATAGACTAAGCTATAATATCAACTATAGACCAGACTATAATCTAAACTATAGATTAGACAATAGTCTGAACTATAGATTAGACAATAGTCTGAACTATAGATTAGACTATATTATGCACTATAGATCAGACTATATTCTTAACTATAGATTATACTATAATCTGAACTATAGATTAGTCTGAACTATATATTAGAGAATAGATTAGACTAAAGTCTCAACTATAGACCAAACTTTAGTCTGAGCTATAGACTAAACTTTAGTCTGAGCTATGAACTAGACTATATATTCTGAACTATAGTCGAAATTTTAATCTGAAATGTAGATAAGAGTCTGAGTATAGTCTGAACTGTAGGCTAGAATATAGTCTAACTATAGACTAGACTATAATCTGAAGTATAGACCAGACTATAGCTTGAGATATACACCTAACTATAAACTCGACTGTACTTTGAACTATAGACAAGACTATGAACTGAACTATTAACTAGACTGTAGATTATAAATTAAACTATAGACTAGATTATAGTCTGAACTATAGGCTAGACTATAGTCTAAATTATAGTCAGAACTATAGACTAGACCATAGTCTGGACTGTAGATGAGACTATAGTCTAAATTATAGTCAGAACTATAGACTAGACCATAGTCTGATCTGTAGATTAAACTATAGTCTGAACTATAAACTAGATTGTGGTCTAGATTTTAGTGTTACTACAGAATAGACTTAAATCTGAACTTTAAACTAGACTTTAGTCTGAACTATAGACTAGACTAGACTATAGCCTGAGCTATAGAACATCTGGTACAAAGATTTTTTACTGAAATCTTATTTGAAAACATTGCGAATAACTTTATTCCGAACAGAAATTCAGACATGAAAACATTTTTTTATAAATTTTAGATATGGGGGCTTCATTGTTAAATCAAAGTTGGAGTAAGATCACCTAATCTGATTGTATTAGTTATTATGAAAGAGAATGTTATTTACTTATAATCAAGGGTGTATAAAATGCGACCATAGCCATGTAAATATTTTTCTTTTTATATTATATCTAAAGATATTTAATGACAATGCAAATAAGAAATAACTTAAGCTAAGATCAGCAAAAAACTTTGTTTTGAAAAAGGAAAAAAAAAATCACAAAAAAAAAAACTAAAAATAAAAATAAACTTGACAAATTGAATTGTTTTTAAATAAAAAAAAAACAATATAAACTTTAATTTTTAAATAAAATTTCTTTCGAACCCCATTACGGGTTAATTTTTATACTACCATAACATTTTGAAGGGGGGGCTATTGGCATTTTAAACTTATTGTCAGTCAAAAAACGCATAATTTTGTTGTATAAAACGTACGTACTTTACTATATGTATGGAGTATGTCTGATTTTTTTTTTTTTTTTTTTTTTTTTTGTTATTTGTATTTTAAATGTTTGTTAAGCAAATATTGTAAATTTATATTTTGTCAATTTAATTCCAATCACATACATTTAATACCATATAGTAGTAATACATAATGATTCAATTTTAATTTCAAACAAGAGAAGGTTCTTTAATCGAAATTCGTATTAAGAATAAGATAAAAAAAAAAGTGTCGATTTATTCTCTATAAAGTGTGTCAAATTCTTTAAACAAGTGAACTACTTATACATAATGAAATTATGTATAATATGTATGAAAAAAATAATATCATGGAATAATTTAAAATGAAACAAACAAATCCGAAAAAATAAGTATAATGCTGGCGATATTTTTAGAATCTTTTTTTTTATATAGTTACACACACATATACAGAGAGAAGAATGAATTGTGTTAGAAAAGAAAGCTTTTTTTCTTTCTCCTTTTCTAACACTTATGGGGCGTTATGCTGAGATCAAATCATATACACACACATTTATTCAATACATACATATACACCTTTTTGAGTTTTCAAAAATTTTGAAATAGATATTGTGTTTTTAAAGATCGTTCTTCGTTATTTTTCGCTAAATAGCTAAAAATAATATAATTTCAAGGCATCTGTTTTATAAAATTATTTTACGCTATTGGTGGTTTGTGTTTATAGAAAATTTTTAAAAGAAAAATTTGGACTATATATATAAATTTGAAAGAAAAAAAAAAGCTTTTTTTCCTATATGTAGCTAGGTTGGGTTTTCCTTTTGCTCTCTCCTTTTCACTCGCTCTCATTTAGTTTCTGGCTCTTTTTGA